TCATAGCCCCATTACCAACACAGACAATTTGAAAAGCCATTATTGGGACTTAACACTGTACACCTTTATGAATAGTGTTAGAGAGAGCAAGTTGGTAAAAAAGTGCAGCAGCTCAGAGAGAGCAGGAAAGCGTGGGATGACGCAAGCTAAAAACAGTTTTTAGCTGTCGGGTCGACCCAAAAACGGCAAGCGGAGAAGGCACAAAAGAGAATGCTAATAATGCAAATAAACACTAAACACGAAAGCACAAACTAAATTAATATTTTAATTTAATGAAAGCATATACAGAAATCTGCTTAGAAAAGCTAAACAAAATAGGATATTTATATAAACCCCGGTGCTTTTCCTTAGCAATACCTTACACCAGTCATGCCCAGCCCATTAATCTAGCCGCTCGCATTGTTTTTGTATCTGCTCTTAGGCATAGGCAAAGCAATCGCCGTATACATGCACGACTCACTCCATAAGCAAAGCAGACTACACTAAAAATTTTGCGAATTCTATTCATTCTCCGCGTCTTCGTTGATCTCGGCAACAACACTTTCAAAAGCTTCACCGTAACCTCGCTTGTCCGAATGTAAATTGTTGTTAGATCGTCGAAACATGTACATCGCGTACATACAGTTGTATTTTGCGTTGCAGGCAAGATGTTTGATATTGCAGAAACTAATTTTTTTTTTGTGAAAATTGTTTTTATATTTTACGTTTTGTTTACTTTTTTTAATAAAATGTATTTTTCTTACTTTCGATTTCTTAATTTGAATTTACTTTCATTTTTTTTTCAGTGCAGAAATTTGAAGTAAAAAAAAAACGTTCCGTAAATGTATTTGTGTTTTCATTTATGTGTATTGGTGAGTTGCTCTGCCATAAGCAACGTTTGGGCACCCCTGCTTTACACAAGTCCAAAGTGCAAGAAAAAAAAAACATGTCCGCTTATTTGGGAGAGGAAAGATAATGAGACAAAGGGTTAACGTGAGGTCTCTCTTTCCTCATGAGTACGACGTTATTGTTTCTGATTACCGATGGTGGATAGAACGAGTTGTAACATGAGAACATTACACCTGTAATGACATTGCCCAAAGCAAAGGTTGAGCTGCAGTCATGAGTAGCTTGCTCACCTCCCGACTGGTTGACTATGATTGTCAGGTCCTACACCGATTCGTCTAACGTCATATTCTGGGCGGCGTCTATGATAGTATTCAGACCTAAGTTCTTCTTCACTTCGCCTGCCTGGTGTGCGCATCCTTTACCCCGGGGTGACGGTTACCCTTGTCCAGAACCCGGCTCTGGATCTTAAGTGCCGTCTTATAATGCGCCTTCGCCTTCATCCTCTCGTTTGACCGATTTGGCAGAGATGGCTGTCTTGCTCCTCTTTTGTGAGCTGCTCGCTCTTCAGGTCAGAGTCTGTATCGACGACTGTACTTAATTACGACGTCTTAATTCGCTCTGAGATGTTTTTGTGGCAGAAGCAGATTAACTGGTATGACCTGCTTCCGACATAAGAGGTGTAACTGCTGTTTCCTTTCCTTCGTCTTTTTGGGCGGAAGGAATTAAACCGTTGCCTTAGCTAGAAGCAAAATTACAGCAATGCATAACCAGATGTCCGAAATAGTACAGTGCCCAGTAAAAAACGCAGAACCAAGATCCGAGACTATTCGAGCATCCCATCTCTGCACCTAATTGCGAGGCCATTAACCATTTTTTCTCACTGAAACGGAAATTTTGTCAGTCCCCCAGTTCTAAAATGAATATCGAATAAATTACATGTTACAATTTGGGACCCCCTATATTTCATTTCTGTATTTCTTAATGTGATATACATATATGTATAGTGTACTGACGATCTCAAGCCACTCCCCTCCCGAACATACGGTATATTAAAATTATTTTAGTAAATTTGAGGTTTTTCCAACAATTAACTCATATAGACAATAGTCAGTTCCATTAATGTTGCCGAGTTAAAACAACTATTATGGCCATACAGCCCAATATGTTTTATGGTATCCACTGAGTAGTATGAGCGAATGAACACATTAAATGTTCAGTTGCTTCTCTCTACGATTCCTACAGTATATTCTTTTGTTATTGAATTTTTGTTTTCAGTTCGTCTGTGAAGATATCTCAAACCGGGGCAGACTTTACCTTATACTGTGTTCCCACACAGTCCATACGTATGAAACAGTTGGGATTTTTAACAGATGAGAAACTCCAATTGATCAGCGGCTGCTGTTTTTATCAACTGTTTAAGCTGTTGAAAAATCTGACGCAATCCGTGGTTTTGCTGTTACCACAGATTGCGTCAGATTTATTCGCTCTAAATTAAAATTAATAAGTAGACGAGGCATTTGAGTTGTCTATTCATTTTTCGCTAACAAAAATCAAATGCCCCGAAGAGTGTGCATGGTGGGAGAGGCTCGCTATATATATAAAATAAAGTAGATGTAGTAGTTTTATATTTATTAGTTTAAATTGGGCATATTTTGAGGCTGGAATATACAGGAAACCCCCAAAAAGTTTTTTGTACATACTTACAGCTTTGGCTCCACATGTAAAATTTTATTGGGTGTACAACTTTGCTTCCGCCGTTTTCCGATATGTGGCTGTACCGGCTGACGCTGGTCGATATACATAGATGAGATTGCCTTTAAAGTGAGTGTGAACAGTGCCTAACGAATTGTGATCGCCGTTTCAGTGACAGTTGTTCTTGTTTTTGTATTATTAACGCTCAAAAATGTCCGATTATGTGCCCAATTCTCGCCATTTGCGGGAAGTTTTACTTTTTTGTTACAATTGCATAAAAAAATCAGCTAAAGCGCATCGAATGTTGTCTGAAACTTACGGTGATGCAGCTTTGAGTGAAAGAACGTGTCAGGAGTGGTTTCAACGTTTTAAAAATTGTGATTTCGATGTCGAAGACAAACATATTGGTAGAAGAGAAAAAAGCTTTAAATATGAACAACTAGAAGCATTGCTTGATGAAGATTCCTGCCAAACTCAAGAAGAGCTTGTCGAGTAATTGGGAGTGAGTCAGCAAGCCAATTCTAAACGTCTCAAGGCCCTGGGCATGATTCATGACATGACAATATCATCTTCCAACACGACAATGCTCGGCCTCACGTCGCAAAAGTTGTCAAAAAGTACCTGGAAACGCTGAAATGGGAAGTCTTTTCCCACCCGCTGTATTCCCCAGATGTCGCACAGTAGCGCCTTTTCTCATTTAGCGTTGCAAAAATCATATCTTTTGAACCAAATAAGGTAATCGAATAATTTAAACGGCATTGGACAGGTAATTGTTGTAAAATGTATATATGTACTGCATAATACCACGCTCACAAATACGCCTTTTTAAAGGGTATCAAAGTAAAAAAATATTTTTTTTTCAATGAAAACAATTTTAAAAAAATATTTTGTATTTAATTTTTTATGTTTATTTTTATGTATTTGCTTAAATAAAAATAATTTGGAAACTGAAAAAAAAATTGTTAATTCAAAGTGTAACCGCCGCGCGCTACAGTTAGTATATTTCTTGGAATGTATGAAATTGTGTCGGTATTTTGGTATATTTAACCCTGAGTAGTTTTGGCTTATGTTGCATTTCGGTGGCTTTAATCGGCTTCAGAAGTTATAGACTACTTTAGGCAGAAAAAGGTGAAAAAATGGACACCTGGCAGGTAGCGATTTACCTGTACAAGCCCAAACCAAAGTGCCGTTTCTTTTAGGTTCTTTAACAGTTTATGAATGTATCTATCATTTAAAGTAAAAACCATGACCATTGGTTTTATGGTTTTTGTGTAATATTACCTGAAAGTCGACCATTTTACCTACTTTTTTTGGTATGATGCAAAAAACAAAAGAAAGTTCAACTTTGAATGCTCATATATTCTACAAAAAAAATCTTAAAATAGATTTTATTGCAGATTCTGAATCCTTGGGAAATCTTCTGTCGAATAAGTATGGTTAAAATCGTTTTTGCGAACACGACTTTTTCGATTTTTGCAACGCTAATTGTTCGAGAGGCGCTACTGTGTGTCGCCCCTTCTGACTTCCACATATTTCCTTCGATGACACACAGCCTAGCCGATCAAAATGTATAATCCTTCGAAGAGTTGGACAAATGGATTGCTTCGTGGATTGCGTCAAAACAGGACTCCTTTTTTCGAGCCGGGATCCGAAAATTGCCGGAAAGATGGGAGAAAGTTATCGCTAGCGACGGACAATACTTTCAATAATACATCTGTAAGCCCTTTTTCCCAATAAAGCTTTTAATTTTGGGAAAAAAACGGCGGAAGCAAAGTTGTACACCCAATATATATCATTTGTTCCTCGTCATCTTTGTATAAATTTTCGTCTTACACTTTCGCCTATTGCCGGAAAAGGTCATCAAATTTAGATGCACAACGGTTGGAGAACACAATAAAATACTTCGCAACGGCAAAACCTTATGGCCTATACGTTCAATTGATGGAGGAAGTCAGATAGATCTCTGTTGGATGACTGTATTAAGGAAGTTTATTGACACAACAAACTGTGTAAAAGTGAAAATCTCTCTCCCTATATGTGCCATCGTGATCAGATCCGTATACTTTAGGAAAAACTATATTGTCAAATTCGCAACACTAAGAAATATATGGGAAAATCTAGATATACATCTAAGAGAGAGAAAAACCTCGGTTGTTTAGAAAAAATAAAACGTATTAAAGTGTCAGCACCTCATAAGTACCCAAAAAACGTATTTAATGTAATTTTAATTTTTAAATATTTGAAACCCTGACAATAGAAATTCTTGGGCTTAATTTGAGTTCAGCGCATCAAAAATCTTCGGAAAGGTATATTCCCGTTCTTGGTTAAAAATACTGTCAGCCGGTGAATTCTTTGATACTATCTAATGTTTTGATGTAAATCTGCGTAATAATAATAATATAAGAATATATTTATATATTAGTTTAAGGTCTATTATTTATATTACCTGATTTAAACGCATAAATTCTTGGTCTTTGCAGGACTCCATAGAGCAGTGGCGAAATGTTTTTCAAGTTTCTGCTATTATTTCAATATGCACCTACGGTTTTTATCAAATTTTTGGTACAGCAGAAATACAAACTTGGAATAAAGAGACACCTACAGATGCTGACTTAAGAGAAGGCAAAATTTTATCAAAAGCAAAAGAAAATAAAAGTATTGACGAAAATTGAAAACTGTGAACTTAAAGTAATGTCCTGCTTTTTAATATATTTTTAATATTATGTGTCTATGTATTTTTTATGAATTGTAATAATAAAGACACAAACTGCTTATATGTTTTTTTAATTGAATACATCACTGTGGACTACTTTACATACTATATATGCTTACATGATTGTTGGGAGGGGGCGGATTTAATTTAAAAGTGCTTTCGATAAATAATAACACTATTTTGAGGCTAGTAGCGCGATTATACTGCCTCCTGAAAATAAGCGCCCTCTTGGCGCAGCAAGAATATCACCAGTGAGCGATCGTCGACATCTATTATATAAGTGTATGGTGATCCTGTCCACTCGACTGGCATATGTCATGTCACTGCGGAATGGTGGGTTAATTTTTTTTTTAATTTATTGGGTTTAATTGTCTGCAATCAATTTGACTTATGTCTATTATTATTTAAAAATGTGTACATAAGGATTATAGGGTATTTATTTTCTCCTAGACGTGACCAATCTCGTTCTTCTGGCTACATTTATTTTATTATTTATTTCCTTCGCGCCTACTAACTGCTAACAGAACAAGCACGTGCTTGGTGTCGCAAGTTCCACTTGATATGTACTGTACATAGTGCATCAACGTCTTGCAATATATAAAAAAAAACGTTAGGGTGGTTCTGAGCCGTATTCTATGTGACCTCGTCAGTTTGTTGATGATATCCACTACAAAGAGGATTTCCAGGTCTCGGTGCAGGTCGGCATTGCGAATATACCATTCTTCTCCACTGATTCGTCTTAGAAATTTGCTTTGGAATACTCGTATTTTATTAAGGTGGGTTGTAGCTGCGATTCCATAGATGGCTAGCCCATAATACCAAATAGAAGCGAGAATGGCCATGTATATTCTCCTCTTATTAGCCAGACTGAGCTTCGAGGAGGGGTGGGTAAGCCAGCTGAGACGGTGCGCAGCCTGCTCCAATATGCCACGGATACGGGTGATGTGGGTGTTAGTCTCCTGTCAAACGGGATCCCAAGGTATGTATGCTCTTTCCCTTGAGGAATGAGCTGACCATGTAGGAAGGCTCCAGGAGAGAAATCGCTTCTAAAAATGAAGGTGGTCAGAGCACATTTGGCAGGATTGATGGATCTTGCCAGGATGGCAGTGTCATCGGCGTAGGTGGCAATACACATAACTCCTTGTGTACCTCTGGGAATCTGTGGCGCATTATGTGTATACAAGTTGTAGAGTGTTGGTCCTAGGTCCCCTGGGGGACTCCTGCAGCAATCGGCCTAGGTCTGGAAGAGACCCCATCTTGGACCACTCGAAAGGACCTATCACAGAGGAAGCTTTGGATTACTTCCAAGAGCTGCGGATGAAGGATTCCTTTTAATTTAGCAAGCAACCCTGGGTGCCAGATGCGTTCGAAAGCTTGCCTTATATCCTAAAAGGCTGCCACAGTATATTCCTTTCGCTGAAATCCATCCAAGATGAACTTCCCCACTCTATGGAGGTGTTTTGGAGTACCATGGCCTATTCTTAACCCAAACTGGTGTTTTGGGATGGCATTGTTAAGGGATTAACCGGGGTTTGAAACTTAAAAAAATGCAATTATTTCAAACTTTTTTATATAATAATACAAAGGGTCAGGAATGTTGTCCGAAAATTTCAAGTCGATCGAAGCAAAACTGTAGAAATGGGAGAAATTTAAAGCCCAGCGCGTCGTATGAGTCACAACTGGCAATTCGAACTTTTGCGTCGTTTTTCTCTCGGGGTGGTAAGGGTGTACCAATCCAAGGCAAAGTCAACAGGGCAACTGTTGATGAATATTCCTTGGCTCTAATGGTACACCAAGTCGACTGAATATCGGTTTGATAGACACCACCTTCTCCTGGGAGAAGGTCCTCCGCGTGGTACCTCCTGGAAACGTACTGCGGTACGGCCAATGCGAGCGGCACCTCCAGTGAATCCCTCACCCAATAATCCTTTGACTCCCAATCCCTACCGAGACATGGGCAAGTCTTAAAACTACCTCCCCTCAAGTCAGGCGTGTAAAGCGACCCGTGCCCACTGACTATAAGGTTCGCAGCTGAGGGTTTAAACCAGCTGTGTTCGAACGGAGCCTTCCCAGGGCCGGGCAACCCTGGGTCGGAACGAGCCTTGCCGTGGCTTAGGGGCGAAGCCACGGTCGACCTTCCTTCAATGCCCCGAACCCCTCGGGCCCGCCGCGCTCGCCCAGCCGAGCAACGCGGGCGTTTATGAAAATGAGCACAACAAAAAAATCCGCTTCGGACCTCGTGGGGGAGGTGAAACCCCATCACAAATCGACGGAAAGCGAATTGGACGAGGAGGAGCTACTGCGCTCAGACGACGAGACGCTAGCTCCGTCCAATACAGAGGGAGGTGTAAAGACAAGCACACCTCAAACGACACAACCGAAGCACACTAAAGCGGCGGCAAGCCAAGCCAAAGCGACCGGCGAACACGGGAAGACAAAACCGTGGACCCACCAACAACGAAAGGCGCAGGCAAGCAAGGCCCATTTCATCCTCGCCAAAATAGCGAGGAATGAAAAGGAGGGCAAAGCCGATCCGCGCAACCTAGCAGACAAAGCTAGGTACCTCGCAGTGATCGAGGAGTATGAGCGATACGAAAAGGAGCACCCAGAAACGCTTTTGCCTCCCCAAACGAAGCGCAACCGCTCACAAGAAGTGAGCAAGAGCGCTCCGAAGAGAGCCAAAGACGCAAAGGGCGCACCAAGACCGACCACTTATGTCAAGACGGCGAAAAAATTCAGCGAGATGGCCCGAGATAGCCTCGCCATGGCACTTGTTGATGAGCTCAACGACGATGGGCGCCTTCTGATGGAGAAATGGGAGGAGGTCGAGACCCAGTTGGCAGAGATGGTGACTGACAAACTACTGTCCGAGCCAACGGGCCAGTCACCCTCCTTTGACTCCTCGGACATGGTTAGGGGGCACCGGGTAATCAGGTGCGACGATGAGTTCTCGCGGGACTTCCTGGCGGATTGCGTTGCCAGACTAGGCAAAGCATGAAAGGGGATTAGCATTAAGCTGGTCCCCGCCAAGGACATCCCAAGGAGACCCAGAGCTCGCATTTGGTTGCCCAAGGGGCTGTCTAGCCATGAAAGGGTGCTCAAGACTCTGCGAGCAATGAACAAGGGAGTCGACATGGAGGACTGGGCAATTCTCAAAGCTGAACGAGAAATGAAGTCCAGCCAGCCATATCTGTTCCTGATCAACCAGCGCTGCCTAGAACAGCTGAAGGCAGCAGAAAACAAAGTCCGGTACGGCATCAGGAAAGCCAAGGTGAAGGTCTTCCTAGACGAACCGGACGATATTCAGGAAGACGAAGTCGAGGACGCCAATAAGCTGCTGGACGATTTGGCGATCGACGACAGCACCCCCAACACCACCCCAATCTAATGCCGACGGTCATTCAAATAAACCTGAAGCGCAGCTCCCACGCTTCAGCTAATCTGGGGGTCCTCCTCCGTGAGAAGGACATCGACATCGGCCTGATACAAGAGCCATGGACAAGAGACGGACGAATCTCTGGCATGGCCATAAAGGGATACACAACATTATACACAAACTCGACAGGTAGGCCGAGGGCGGGTATAATCATTAAAAACAACCTTAATGCTCTTCTCTACCCCAATCTCAGCAACTTAGATCTAGCAGTGGCAAGATTATAAGGTAAGAAATTGGAGAGTCTCTACACAAGCCTCATTTTCAGACCACAGGTACATATTCTTCGAAATCGTGATGCCGGTATGTGAAACGGCGCCGAAGCGAAACCCTCGAAACACTGACTGGGACAAATACGGAAAGATTGTACAGTCAAAGGTCAAAGATAGAAGGATCAAGACTCGATCTACCCCGGAAGGAATAGATAAGGAAGTCGAGGACTTGACAAATATTCTGAACAAAGCTTATAAAGGGTCATGCAGACTAACATACTCTAAGAAGACATACCCACCATGGTGGAACAAAGAGCTATGCGAGCTCAGAAAGAGAGTTCGAAAAGCCTTCAACACACGTTACGGAACCAAAGACTGGCAGCCGTACAAAGCAATACACAAAGAATACAAAAAGGCAATCTACGTAGCCAAGAAGGAATCTTGGAGCAGTTACTGTGAATCGCTTGAAGGAGTCAAAGACACGGCGAGGTTAAGTAAAATCCTATCGAGAGGACACACAAGCCCCACGCTCATAAACAAACCCGACGGGACAGGAAGTACGTCGGCTGAAGAGTCACTGGAAATCCTGCTGAATACGCACATCCCAGGAAACCAAAAAGAAGAAGCTAAAATAACGGAAAGCCAGGGGGCAGACCAGCAGCTACAAGTAGAAGAGATCATCACCATGGAAAGAATCCATTGGGCGATAGATTCCTTCGACAAATACAAAAGCCCGGGTCCAGACGGAATAATACCAGCAATGCTACAAACAACAAAAGCAAGCACGGGAAAATGGCTGCAAGCAATCTTCTAGTCTTCATACCAAAACCAGGAAGAAGGGGACACATTCAAGCCAAGGATTATAGGCCGATAAGCCTTACCTCCTTCCTAATGAAAACACTGGAACGGATCATTGATATCCACATCAGAGAAAGAACGGAGAAAAACCTTTCCAATGCGCAACATGCGTACAGGAAAGGCCGATCCACGGAAACAGCACTACACGAGGTAGTGCGATACATAGAAAAGGCTCTACTTTTCAAAAACTACGCCATGGCCACCTTCCTGGACATAGAAGGAGCCTTTAATAACGTCAATGCGGATTCCATCCTGAGTTCCCTCAACGGTATAGGAGTAGAGGGAGGCAGCAGGGCATGGATTGGCGCAATGCTGACGAGCAGGAGGATAACAGCCGAACTGAGTGGCACTCATCACACAAGATTTGTGAAGAGGGGCACACCTCAGGGGGGAGTCCTGTCCCCACTGCTCTGGCTGATAAACATGGACGACGTACTAAGAACACTAAATAGCGAAGGAGTAAAAGTGGTAGCATACGCAGACGACGTAGTCCTACTCACTTCAGGACCATTCCCCCAGCGAACTAATGACAAGGGCACTCACGAAACTCAATGCATG